CGGGGCTCGGCTTCCCTGCGTGCGTCTAGAGGGGCGAGGCCGGGCCGAGTGCGCCGCTGCTCTCGTGTGCTCACGCCTCGCCGCCACCAGACCTGCCCTCCCTTGGAGACGGGTCACCTCGTTCCTTCCGGCCGGGCTCCAGCCTGGGGAGGAGGCCTGGACGACGGCAGGGCCAGGGGGACAGACAGGAGGGGGTGCTGGGCCAGCGGCCTCACGGGAAAGACCAGGATGACCAGACCCGCTGGGGCTCAGAACTACCCGCCTCAATTCCAGATTCCGCCCCCACCCTCACAGTGGAGCCTCCACGGAGCGAAATGCTTGCAGGCAGGCCGTCTTGGGCCCACCCAGAAGCACAGGACTCAGTCTGGTGACCCCTGGAGTTGGCCGAAAACTCACCCCCAGGCACAGCCATCTGGATCAAGTAAGAGTTAGACCTTCCCTGAGCTCTGCCTGGAGCTCCTGCTGAAGTGAATGGGGAAAATGGACACCCTGCTTCCACTCGCGGAAGACTGAGCCTGCCTGGGGAGAAGCCTGCAGGGAGGACAGCAGCACAGAGAAATGGATCCCTAGTTCCTGGATCCAGCCATGCCTGAAGCCCACCACCCTGGGGATTTTCATTTATTTATTTTTTTAAAAATCAGGTTCCGTTTTTGTTGAAGCCACTATGAGTTCTGTTTCTGCTGCTAGGAAACGACCCAGAGGGGTTCCTCTCAGGGCCTTTGCTAGCCCATCTGTAAAATAGAAAGGAGTTCAGAGCACTGGTGTGGGGTCCCTACCTCAGTGGATTGAGCAACCTGCTTAGCAGAGCCCTGGTCCAGTGATATTGAGCACCTGCTGTGTACTCACTATGCTGGGGCTCCTCTGAGTGTAGCTCCCTCAGCTCCTCCCGGCAGCTCCAGGAGTCAGGACTGTGGTAGACTCCATTTCATAGCTTTGTTCATTTTGTTGATTTGGAAAGTCAGTGTTGAGCGCCTACTGTATACCAAGTCCTGTCCCACACAGGTCAGGATCAGTCCCATCATAAGGGGCACCTGGTCGGGTGGGGACGGCAGACGCTAATCTAACCGTCACACAGAGAGTTATAATAAACCTGGGAGAGTGACAGGTGAAAGTGTGAAGAACTGGGTGAGGGAGGGCTTCAAGAGGTGGTGCTGGGGCCAAGACTGAAGAGAGGCGAGAACCGCAGAGCAAAGGCCCTGAGGCAGGTGTGGTTGGTGGGGAGTGGGTGAGGGGGGTAGAGTCAAGCCTGGGGATCTGGAGGCCTCTGGGTTTTGTTCTTAGTCTGCGGGGAGGGGGTTGTCCTGGAGCAGGAGAGTGGAGACCTGACCTATGAGTTGTTTGCTCCTTCTTCCTGCTTTGGCTCAGCCCTGCTGGCGTTGGGGTTCCGGTCTGTAGAATGGGTACGGTGGCCTCTCTGGAGCGCCCCCGCCCCCCCAGCTCTCCTGGTCTGACCCCTCTTCACCATGGCTCCTGCAAGAGTCGGGAAGCATCTCTCCATCAGGTAGAGAGGCTGCCTCAGTTTACCTCCCCAGATACCTCCCCCTCTGTCTGTCCAGTGGCCTCTGGGTTTGGTCAGAAAAAGATGTTATCTCTGCCTCTGCCCTTGAGCCAGGATGGGGCTGGGGTATCAGGGGCCTCCCGGGACGTGGGCTGCAGGAAAGACGCAGAGCAGCCGTGTCTTGGCTTCTCCACGCCCTGCGGACGCCCAGCCCTGGCCGGGAGGCCCTCCCCACCTGTGCGCCTTTGTCCCTCCTCCTCGTCTTTTTGTTTTCGATATATTCACATATCACACAATTCACCCTTTTAAAGTGCACAATTCAGTGGCCTTTAGCACATCCACAATGTTGTGCAACCACCACCTCTGTCTAGTTCTGGAACATTTCCGTCATCCCCGGCCCCCCGCCTCCCCCAGCCCCTGGCACCCGCTAATCTGCTTCTGTCTCTGTGGATTTGCCTCTTCTGGATGGGTCATATAAATGGGATCATACACTCTTTGGCCTTTTGTGTCTGTTCTTTTGTGAGGGAAACTCAGGATAACATTTTCGAGGTTCGCCCACGTTGTGGCGTGTACCAGAGCTTCACTCCTGTTCAGAGCTGAGTGCTGTCCGCTGTGTGGATGCATTCCTATTTGTGTATCCTTCATCCACGGATGGACATGTGGGTTGTTTCTGCCTTTTGGCCGCTGTGAACAGTGCTGCTGTGGACATTGTGTTCAAGCTGTGGTGTCAACGCCTGTTTTCAAATCTCCAGGCTCCCCCAGGAGTGGCGTTGCTGGTCACGGGGTCATTCTTTGTTTACCTTCCTGAGGAGCCGCCAGACTGTTTCCACGGCGGCTGCGCGCTGTGCGCCCCGTCGGCCCGGGGCGAGGGTGCCGGTCTCCCCCTCCCCGAGCCCCCTGTCCCGGGCTGAGAGGGAGTCTGCCCGCGCGCCGACGGGCGTCCCCCTGATGACTGATGCCGCCGCCGAGCACCTTTGCAGGGGCGTGTCGGCCATGTGTGTATCTTCCTTGGAGAACTGTCCATCCGGCCCTTTGCTCATTTCTCATTGGGTTATTTATCTTTTCATTATAGGGTTGTAAGAGTTCTTTATCTGTGCTGCCTGTGAGTCCCTTGTCAGATACAGGATTTGCAAATATTTTCTCCCATTCTGTGGGCTGTCTTTTCAGTTGTGTGTCCTTTGTGGAAGAAGTTTTAAATTTGATGGAGTCCTGTTTCTGTATTTTCTTTTGGTTGCTGTGCATTATGTCAGGTCTTAGAATTCTCCTCGTCTTCGGGGCCCCCTCTGCAGCCCCGCTCCGCATCCTCCCGCCCCCCAGCCTCTCCCTCTGGCCCCCCGGACCCCCGCCCCCGCTTGGGGGTGGGGCCTGGGCAGCCCTTTCTGCCCCACCGGAGGCCCCGGGCCGAGGGCACCGAGTTGCCGGCCCCCCGGCCGCACAGGCGGGGTGACCGAGACTCGGGGGCGCGGCCCGGACCCGCCTGGTCCCCGTGTTGGGGCCACGGCGGAGGTCGCGCCCGGCCTCTCCCCGCCCGGCCTGGAGCGCCTCCTGGCTCGCGTCCCGCCCGGGCCGACCGTGCCCGGCCGCCACCGCCTACTCTCCGTGCCGGTTTCTGCCAGACCCAGCGCCCCGGCGAAGGGAAGAAAAACACCCTCGGGGCCGGCTGGGGGGAGGGGCAGGTCTCCAAGGTGCTTTCGGGTTGGGGGGTTGGGGAGGTCACTCGGTTTCGGGTTGGGGGCCGTGGGTCACACAGTCGGTGGACAAGCGTCTCACAGACCCGGGCCAAGTCCTGGCTCTGCCTCCAGGTAGCCGTGCAGTTTCCTAGCCTCGACCTCCCCGCCGGTGAAATGGGGGTAGTTAACCCTCCTCGCGGTTGTGGCAGGTGGAGGGAGGGGGCTGGGGAGGAGCCGCTGCTGACAGCGTCCTCCACGAGGATGAGTCACGGTTTGCTCAAGAATACAGAGATCTCTTCTGGGGGGTGGCGGGAAGGGCTCGTGCCCAGCTGACTGGGGGCTGGTCTTGCACCCCAGCATCCCACGATGTGTTAGGTGGGGGACTGTGTCTCCCCCCACTGCCCTCCTCCCTCTCTCTCTGTCTCTGTGTCTGGCTGTCTCTGTCTCTCCCTCAACTCCGCTCCGGACCTCCCAGACCTGCCCTGCACCAGCCGGATCAGCCCAGGTGTGGCCAGTGTCTCTGTCAGGGCCTCCCACAACCCTCCATCTAATCTCCCCCCACCGCCCCCGCTGTGGCCTCGGGCCGGCTCCAGGCTGCCCGGGGCCCTCACCTGCTGCCTGAAGAGCAGACCCCCTAAGAAGCCCTCTCTGACCCTGAAGCCCAGCAGCTGAACGCCCACACTCTAGAGACTCCAGGCCCCCCCACTCTGCCTGTTTTAGATGGGGAGACCGAGGCCTGTATCGTGAAGAGTCTCGTCCACAGCCTCCAGCCACAGTGGCTTCACTGGTCACCCTGGTCCAGCCACGGGGGCTCTGGGGCCCTCAGGCTTCCCTCCAGTCTGGGCCTGGGCCTGCCCCATAAACAGCCAGCACAGCCCGTTCCACCCAGACGGGCTGGGTGGTGACACTCCCACCTCCTGG